GCTGAGGGCTAAGTCTAAGGAGAGTTGATGAAGACATTGAGGTTTGCTGCTTCATTGGAACAGTGGCCCTCTGTGGCCTGGCCCAGTTGCTGAGTGACTTCCCGGTCCCCTCTCCACATGCTGCCTCATCCCCGAACTGCCTGAGCAGCTGTGTTGAAAGTTATCCTTGAGTTTATCTTGGGTTGAAAGTTATATTATCACTTCCTGGATTGGGTCAGCCCCCAGCTACATTTTTTTTTAACTGCAGTTGAGTGTTGGAAATAGATAAAAGAGAGAAAGAAGTCAGCAAGGCCTGATCACTATTTCTGTTGAAAAGAACTTTAGCTAAAGGTCAATGAAAGAAAAGGAAATAAAGGTTTCAAGGTCTCAGATTGGGATCACAGCAGGAAATATTGTCTGGCAGAAGGCCTTGGTCTAGAAAGCAAGCAAACCATCTTTGTTCAACATCGGTGGTGACGATGACGATGATGATGACGACAAAGACGATGACGTTAATCAATGCACCAGCTACAGTACAACCTACTATATATACATCTAACTGCCTAATCTAATCTTTTCAATATCCTCATGGGGTAGATACATTAAAGACTACAAATAGCTCTGCAAGAGACCTCAGAGAATGACAGAAAAGAAATAAACGATACTAGAACCCATTCTTTGTTAATTACATATGAAGCTTCCCCCTAGGATTTCCCATTCCTTCTCCCTCTGTATAGCCCTGAGAATCAGCAGTCACTGGAGGAGTCAGAGTGAGTTTAGAAAACGGTAAAAAGCCCTATTGCCAGAGGGCTAGCATGGTTTGTCCTGCCGAGGAGTGCTCGGAAAAAGCCGCATTCACGGCGCTTGTTTTTATTTGATTGGATTTGCAGTTTCTCATTAGGAAACTTCATAGTCTCAGCATGATAGTTGGAAGAAAAAAACGTGTTTGTAGCATTTTGCCATAGCAGCCTTAGAAAACAAATAGTGAAAGCAATTGAACTGGGTGGATGAAGTGGCTCAAGCCTACAATTCCAGCTATTTAGCAGTGAGAGACTGGGGAAGGCCAGCCCAAGCTAAAGGAGGTTCATGAGACTCCATTTCAACTAGTGGCTGTGGCCCAGTGACACATACCTCTTACCCTAGCTTTAAGGAAATACAATGGCAACATACAGTGGGACAAGTCTGTTATCACCAGTGACATGGAGAAACAAATACAAGTAGGAGGACCTCAGTCCAGGTTGTACCAGAGAATAAAGCAAAGCCCCACCCCAAAAATAACCAATATAAAAAGGGGCTACAGGTATAACTCAAATGGTGAGCAGGCACCTAGCAAACATGAAGCCCTGAGTTCAATTCCCATTAAAAAAGTAATTATGGGGCTGGGAAGGTAGCTCAGTGGTAGAGTGCTTGTCTTGCATGCATGAGGCTCTGGGTTCGATTCTTCAGCACCATATAAGCAGAAAAAGCCGGAAGTGGCACTATGGCTCAAGTGGTAAAGTGCTAACCTGGAGCTGAATTTCTGAGGGACAGCGCCCAGGCCCAGAGTTCAGGCCCCATGACCAGCAACAACAACAACAAAAAAGCAATTTATATTATAATGATGCTCCACATAATGATGTGTTCATCAACCATGTATTATTACAACAGTAGATAGTAGCCCTTTAAGATTATGCTGGAGGGAGAAAAGTTTCTATTGCCTATTACCGTCATGTTTTAGAGTGCTATACAATATGCATATGGGATGATGTAGTGTGAACAAATTATTACACTGACTATAACATAAATGCAAATTCACGATGTTTTCCATACTTTTATGCAAAGGCCTGTATTCATCATCAATATTGGTATGTTCTGGTGGGGGAGGGGGTTCGCACTGGTGGCAAGAATCCTGCCAAGTTCTATCCATTGTTTAGCCAAAATCATCACTCCAATCTGTTTATATTAACATCTCACATAAACAGTGCTTTGAGAGATACATACAGACAGACATAAATAAATATACACAAATACACACACACACACACACACACACACACACACACACACGTTCTAAGAGGGGAAAAAAGGCGAGAATTAAATGCCTGAAGACAGTCTGTTTAATATGGTATCTACCTGAACACATACTAGGTTAAAAAATTCTTAAGAACAATACATGCAATCCACACGTACACAAAATCTTTCCTTTTAAGTAATAGATAACAATCTATAAATTACATATAATACTTCTGGCCCATGACTAGAACACCGAGACATGCAAAATAATGATTAAAGTAGTCATTTTAGATAGCTCCAGGCTTTTAGTCATAGAAAAACCCTAACTTCACATATTTTTTTTCAAAATGTTGTTGTTATGAAGGTGTACTTGTCAGTGTGGGAGGAGGAAACATATTTCATTTACCAGTTTTGTCAGTGTGATTTATACCTTTCAAATATTTAGATGTACGGTATGTGGGTCTCCACTCGTACTTATGCCCTGGGCCCATTAGCTGTCAGGGGTGGGCCAGGGACCTAGAAATGATAGCAGAAATACAGCCTGAAGCTATCAACAGAATCCAATCCCTCATCTCAGACTTGTTCCTTCTGTAAACTAAAACACCGTCTTGAAAGCGTCATGTGAATGCCTGATGCAATCCCTTAAAGGGAATGATGAGAACTTTCCTGGGTCCACTGGGTTCCATGTACCTGAAGCTCCACATTGTCCTAGTGTTCTGAACATTAGGGTGGTGTGTTAGGATGTTCTGACTGTGTCATGATGATTTATAACTGCACTCCACTCCTATTTTGGAAAAGGTTACAATTTAACAAAGGTTTTCAAAGGGATCCTCATGTAGTGATGCTTGTTGGTGGGGGTGAGGGAGGAAAGACTCATTTTGTTAGCTTTGTTGAGCCTCCTTGTGTGGAGGTTTTGCTGCTCCATTCCTGGGGACCTGTGAGAATCAGGATAGGAACCAGCATTCTATTTGAGAGTCAGTCCTAAGACGTGAGGAACGCTTAAAGACAGGATAAGTAGTGGCAGTTGAGAGTGGGTACATGATGATTTCTCTTCTGTCATTTGTTTGAGCTTGAATTTGGGGCCTGGGTTCTCTATCCCTGAGCTCCTACCACTTTGAGCCACAGTGCCACTTCTGGTTTTCTGGTAGTTAATTGGAGATAAGAGTCTCATAGACTTTCCTGCACAGGCTGGCTTTGAACCACAATCCTCAGATCTCTGTCTCCTGAGTAGCTAGGATTACAGGGGTGAACCACCAGTAACCTGGCTACGTAATGACTTTCTAAGGGAAAGAAACAAAAAGTATCAAAAAGGCCAAGGAGGGATGCTGAAAGATGGAGGTTGAACTGCCAAAGGCCCTGTAGAATTTCCAATTTGGATTGCATTTTAGCTTAAGTCCTCCAAGCAAATATAGCAACAATAGATTTCATGTTATTCCTGAATAACAGAATAGATACAAACAGAGCATACATGGAAACAGAGGTATCTGATGCCAACAAATACCTTTCTTGTGTTGAGGTGTCTTTGTGGACCTCAATACCCTGGATATCTATGGATATCAGTTCATAAAACTGCTAGACTATCTTTATATAAGACAAAAGAAAACCCATGTGAATTAGACTGGATTCAACAGAAAGATGGCAGGAAAGAAAGAACAAACAGTTTCAGAAATGAGAACTTATAAATGTTTTAAAATAATTTGGATTATTAAAAAGTAACTATGATGCAAATATAATAGGTAAAAAAAATTAATAGCTCAGGGTTAATAGGCAGATTAGTGGGCCAACACAAATAACACATGGGACATAGGAACAAATAAGATATAAGGATGCATTTATGCAAAAAATAACATAAGTTTTAACCTTTGTTTAAATAGGACTTCAAAAAGATTCCACAAAAAGCAAAGATTCCACATATAATCAACCAAAGGTGAAACCATTAAAAAAAAATTAACTTCAAGAAACGCTAATCTGACTGACAAATTCTAGCACTTTTTCTAAGACCTATTCCCACCTATTCTAAGACCAAACGACAGTTTCTATTTAGGCAAGCAAAATTCAATTAGCACTTGGTGATTTTAAAGACTTACTTACAATTGCCTTGAACTGGCTGATGAAATAGCAGAACAGTGTGGGTGAAAAACAATGTTTATTTCTCCCAATTAACTATTTTATTAATCGGATTGTGGGCTACCGGGCCTAAGGGCACACAGCAATGTATTAAAATATCACACACTGTAATTAAGTGGCATATGGGGGATTAGAGCAAGATTAAATGGCTGTTACCTTACATTTTCCCTGGGTGTGGCCTAGGCCAGACAGTCAATGCTCTCCTGGTAAACTCAGTGAATTCTGTTGAGTTTGAAACATAGTTTTCTTCCCCCAAAAGAAATATACATTGAGAAAAAAACTTGCCTCTAGGTAAAGAATTCTAGAGTGAATGACAAGAATCCCCAAGCCAGAATAATAAATACATAAACAATAACATCACTTAAAGAAATCCAATCCTTAGATTCTATTAACAAGGGATTCAGCATGAATCAACTTCTGTGTAACTCAATCCACATCTGGCTCTTTCGTTCTCCTGTGTGAGTTTTAAAACCTGTCTCTGAGTTCTTTTAAGGGAATTTAAAAAATGATCACCTAATGGTTGCCCTACTAAAGAATTTAAAGCAATAGGAATGCTGGCACAATATGAACCAGACCCTTGCAGCTGGAAGAAGAGATTCCAGCACTGTATCATTTCTTGTTTAATTTTGCCAAATCCGTTGTTTCTCCTAAATGTTCTCTTCATTTAAAAATAGTAAGTGTAAGAAGATTTTGGCCTTGATTATTCAGATTCAAGATTACCATGCTTGCAGTTATTGCCAGTATCGGTCTCCAGTGAATCTTCATACCAGAGAAATCACACAATGAAATGACATTTGGAAAAAGTGGTTTGGCCCAAGCAGAAGACAATATGGCCTTTGCCCAGAAACCTATGGCAAACTGCTTAGAAATGACTAGAAAAAAAAAAGATGGAAAGTACTTACGAGGATCCTGGACTTGCAGTGGGAGGGGGACCTGAGGAAATGCAAGAAAAACAAAAGAAAGAGTCAGTGTGGGTAATTTAGAGGGCAGGTGTGAATACAATCAATCCATTACAAATTAAAGTTCCCACCCACCAAGAGGTGCTATTTATTTCTCTGGAATTTATAGTTTTGATACCAGTTTTTCCTCCCAAACACCTCCGTAACTAAAAGCATACCAGTGAGCCATGTCTGTATTCCACGTTTCAGGCTGTGAAAATGCTAAGTGCTAGAATATAAGTCAACACAGTGGGTTCTGACTCTGCAGGAAGTTTCCACAAAGGAGCTAAGTGATTGGAGACTCCAGAGTGTCCATTGGAACAGCCAGCAGGAGCTTCAGTTTAAGAGAACTAGACAGAAGAGGAACACGTTTGCTGTGTATGTTCCCATGTTCTCTGGGACAGGGGTGTATCCTCACTGAGAAGAGCTCAATGGTATGATGGTATAGAATGGACAGGGTAGGGTTAGACAGAACTGGCCTCCATGCCTGTTTGCTGTCCTTGAACATTGTAAGTAACCATTAAGTCTTTAATTACTTCTTTTTGCAATGGATATAAGGCTCATTAATGGGTTGTGGACATCTAGTAAACACTTTCTGGAAGGGCTCATTTCCTCCCTTTTTGCTCTCATGGATTTTGCTGGGGCTGAGGGTCAAAACCCATCCTCAGCAGGAGACTGCTTACCAAACTTGACAAACAAGACTCCAGTAGTAGAGACCACCTTCTTGCCGTTTGTTGCCACACACTGAAAGTAGCCAGTGTCTGTGGTGTCTAGGTTTCTAATCCGGAGTCGAGAGCCATAACTGGTTGCCCGGAAGGAGATTCTCCGGGGCTCTTGGACCACAGGTGCATCATTTTTGAACCAGCGGATGGTGGGAGGTGGATTTCCAGACACTTTGCAGTGCAGTTCTGCTGTCTGCCCCAGGGATGTGGTGATGTTATTCATTGGTTCGTCAAGAGTCAGGTAAGAATCTGTAGTACAGGGAAAAGGAGGGGCAGACAGTGAGACAGCAGCCCCTAAACAGTGCAGATACACTCCAGAGCATCTCAGAGTCACAGGGAGATGTAAGAGGAGCAGCATACAAAGGAGATACACAGAGTGACAGTAGTCAGTCACCAAGACCTCAAATACAACTCCATCCCCCACAGAGCCTGCTATCGGAGTGATACTTGTTATTAATCAGACTAGGAAACCTAATTGCATGGTGCCCATGAATAAATGTACTTTCTAAGTCAAGGAAAAATGAGTTTTTGTGCTTCAGATAATGAAAATAATACACATTCTTTGTTACAAATTATAATACAGTGAAGAAGTGTGTGATGGGGTAAAATTCAAATAGTTCTACCCCACAACAATGCCATTCAACCTTCTGATGAATAGCTACACATTTTATCCAGTTTATTATTTTGACAGAAAGAGAGACAGGGAGGGGGAGGGAGGAAGCGAGGGAGAAAGAAAGAAGAAAGGAAGGAAGAGCACAACATTTATGTTCAATGGTACAACTCCATTTGGAAGAGTGCCCAATTGATCAGACAAAAGGGTAAAAGCACTGGGAATTTCTATAATGCTATGTCATTATGTTAACATGGGGAATTCTTTCGTCTGTCTCTCTGTCTCTCTGTCTTTGTCTCTGTTTCTATCAATTCAATTTGAAATACAGTTTTAAACTAAGACACCATGATTATATTCTGTGTAACATACAGATCTTGAAAAGTTCCACAAGTATTGACAAATGCACATCTCACATAACCAAAGCTCCTATCTGGATAGAACATCAACATCCCAGAAACTACTCCTGAATCCTTTGTAGTCAGTGCTTGCTCCCTCCCACCCCTCCCCCAGGCCATGACTGTTCTGATTTCTATCATCCTAGATTAATTTTGCCTATCCTAGAATCTCTTGTAAGGGAATCATTTCGTAATTAAGTTTTATATTTGGCTTCTTTTGCAATTTGTTGCATTAAAATTTTTTAATAATAAATTACATTTTAGCTGGAAATTCAGACATGCACCACCATGCTCAGCGTATTTTCTAAAATTAAGACTAATTTACTTAAGAAACCTCTCTGTGCTATTCATGTATCAGAAGGTGCTTGTTTGTTTGTTTGCTTGTTAGGTCACAGGGCTTGAACTCGGGGCCCAACTGCTGTTCCTGAGCTTTTGTTGCTCAAGGCTAGCACTCTACTACTCTGAACCACAGCACCACTTCTAATTTTTGAGTGGTTAGACAGAGATAAGAGTCTCAGAAACTTTCCTTCCTGGGCTGGTTTTGAACTGGGATTCTCATATCTTAGCCTCTGAATAGCTAGGATTATAGGTTTTAGTCCCTGGCACACATCCAGGAGATTTTGGTTTGTTTCCTTCTCTGCCATACATCCTTGGGCACATTCTGTCATGCCTTCCTGATGCTCTTTGTCCTTCCTAAGTCCAAACACAAGACAGCTTGCTAACTAGTTTATTATTGCAAGTCTATAAGTCCTTTTTTTTTTTTTTTTTTTTGGGTCGTGGGGCTTGAACTCTGGGCCTGGGCGCTGTCCCTCAGCTCTTCAGCTCAAGGCGAGCGCTCTACCACTTGAGCTACAGCGCCACTTCCGGTTTTCTGGTGGTTTATTGGAGATACGAGTTTCACGGTCTCTCCTGCCCGGGTTGGCTTTGAACCGCGATCCTCAGATCTCAGCCTCCTGAGTAGCTAGGATTACAGGCGTGAGCCACCAGCGCCCGGCAAGTCTATAAGTCCTATGGGCAGGCCTGGGAACATCTGAGGCATTACTGCACCTCAGTGCATAATATGGTCCAGCAACAGTGTGGATAGAACTTCCTGCAATGATGGATATATATTATTATCTATACTAATGGGTAGCCACTAACTACATGTGAATTACTGAGCTTGTGAAATACAACTAGAACAACTAAGGAGCTGAATTTTTTGGTCGGTTGTGGAGCTTGAACTCTGGGCCTGGGCCCTGTCCCTCAGCTCTTCAGCTCAAGGTGAGCACTCTACCACTTGAGCCACAGTGCCACTTCCGGTTTTCTAAGTGGTTTATTGGAGATAAGAGTCTCACAGACAGTCCTGCCCGGGCTGGCTTTGAATCCTGATCCTCAGATCTCAGACTCCTGAGTAGCTAGGATTACTGGCGCCCAGCTGAATTTTTAATTTAAGCAGCCCTCTGTAGCAAGTGACTACTATATTGATCAGTACTGAAAATGTTGAATGCATTGAATTTAATGGATTCTTACTGGAAAATAACTCTTTTGGAGAGCCATTTAACTGGGTAACTTAACTACCCAAAATGGGTTCATAAATATGTGATTATTTGCTTTAGTTTTACACATACTCTCTCTCTCTCTCTCTCTCTCACACACACACACACACATACACACAACAATTTTGGGAAGAGGTATTGTTAAAGTGTTAGCATCTCCACAAGACTCACACAAGTATGAGGATATGTGTGACTTGCATTTATCCTGTGTATGCGATGGAAGAGATGAAGGATGACTGTTACCCACTGTGTCATCCTAACGATACAGTTCATCTCATCAATGAGCCAATGAAAAGTGATCTCTCCAGCGGAAGTATGGGTCCATAAGTGGTTTTGCTAATGTCTTGATTTAGATTTATATTCTAATTTCTCTCTTGGGATGTGTTTCTATTATCTATCTATCTGTCTGTCTGTCTACCTATCTACCTATTTATCTATGTCTATTGCCTATCTAGCCTCAATCTGTAAAGATGTTTGCACATGGATATAAGCACATGTGTTCCCAAAATGTTTGAACAAATACCCAGAAAATAGGGAAACTAATTAATGGTGGCTTTATGAAATTATTGCCCTATCTTCTGTCTTGAGAATAGATAGCCTGTGTAGACAAAAACTTAAGAAAACAAAAATGTGATACCCAAATAAGCATAGTAAATAACCTGACATTGGTCATGAATAGGTTCTTGAATTTAGGTTCTTGTAGGGTTTGAATCTCAGGTCTTCTGCCTTTCTTTTTATGTGATCTTGGGTAAGTTCCTTAACTTCTCTCCCCAACTGCTTAAACAACTGGAAAATCAGAATAATATATACAGTTCTGTTACAGGAAGGTTAAAATTAAATTGGTGACACTATGGTTTATTAAACTGTAAGTACTCAAAACACACACACACACACACACACACACACACACACACACATTTGGGTCTGGTTATGGGGCCTGAACTCTGGGCCTGGGCACTGTCCCTCAGCTCTTCAGCTCAAGGCTGAGCCACAGCGCCACTTCCGGCTTTTGTCTTTTTGCTTATGTGGTGCTGAGGAATCGAACCCAGGGCCTCAGGCATGCAAGGCAAGCGCTCTACCACTGAGCCACCTTCCCAGCCCTCAAAAATATTAATGTAATCCCATCACTAGCGAGTCTGTGGGGTAAAAGGCTGTAAGTTTGAGGCCAAGGTCTGAATCAAAACAAAGTAACTAAAAACAATACAAGACAAGAAACAAAAAATCTACTCTAGTGTCAATGCTGCTACTATGAATTTCAAGTTATTTCTGCATAATGCTTTATTATCATGGCTTCCATCTTCTGTTATTCCCTAACTTCTGTGTAAGTAGAAAAGGTAAACTAATTACCCATGGTTCTCAGCTGCAGATGAGAAACATCATGACTTAGAGCTTAACTGGTCTGCCCCAGGTTCACAATAATGCAGGGCCTTCAGTCCTCAGGCTGAGCCAAAGCAGTCCACAAAGTCCAACTGAGGAAGCCAGCCAAAACAGGAGCAATAACAATCTATTGTGAAGCTTGAATCACATGCTAGGGCTTTACAATTGTATTTATCCACCTGATGATCTTAAAAGAAAGGAGTGGGTATAATTGCTCCACTTAGACTCGAGTGGTTAAGTGACTTGTCCTAGGTCTTAGGTTTCATGGAGGTCCAATCCACCTCTCTGGCTCCCAAACATTTCTTGCCATTCTGTCAGATTCTTCAGCCATATGAGCCCACAAAGAGTGGGGCAGCTGGAATTACTTTCCAACACTCATATGCCCCTGGGTACTTCCAGAACTGTGGGGAATGCACCTAAGCATTTGCCATGGTTCTAGCTGGGGTTTCAGTTCGCACTGGAGGCATCTTAAGAGACCAGCTCTACAGAAGTCTACATTAGAACATGTCTTTAAAAACAAAATAGGGATACAGGATGACTCATTGTAACAAGACACTATGTTGAAAATGAACTTTAAAACTTTGGCGGGGGTGGAAGGAGGGGAGGTAGTTGTGGAGGTGGGAAGGAAGGGATGGTAGGGGAAAAACCAAGGAGGAGGCAAACAATGCTTGATAGGAAATGTACTCATTACCTTGCTCATGTAACTGTAACCCCTCTGTACAGTATTTTCACAATAAAAAAGTATAAAAAAAAGAAATGTGAAGAGATCTTTTCGTTTACTGACCAAAGAGTCTTGCCATAGTGGGAGATAAGGGTTTAAGTTTGTTCCGATGCAGAAGTGAATCTGCTGCCATCTCTAGCTGCTTACCAAGTGCACAGAGCCAAAAAATGGTCTATTCCTCAATTTGGCCAAGACCAGAAGCATCAGAAGAGCGTCATGTCTCAGTGACTCAAAGGCTTTCTGTGACTGGATAAAGTAAGATGTATGTCTGCATCTCCATCTTTCTTACTGTTAACAGCCCTTGGGTGGGCTCCATTCTCTTCCCAGAACTATTAGGAACTTTCTGTGGCTCCCTCATGGGTCAGGCTAAGGGATTCAACTCTGGTGTCTCCACTCAGAGTATGGCATAACCAGGGCAGGTTCTGAACAGCCTCCTTGTTCAGTGAATACCTTTCTGCTTCAATTTCACCTACAGAGGAAGGCCTGTTACAGAGCTAAGACTCCAGTTCATTTCTGCTATGTGGAACAGACAGTCCCTCTGCCACTGTGAGCTTTGCATTCATTATCGATTACCACATGGGTCTTTGGGGTTCCATCCTTGGACAGCTTGT